TGGGGAAGTACTCGACTTCCATGGATTACGTTTGTTGGTGTTACGCCTGTCAACAAGTTGATTACCTCGGTTCGTGGTGTATACTGAGACAGGTAATAGGTTGAAAAAGTATATAGTGTTCCAACAAAGATGTAGTATGAGGGTATGGAAACCCTAACCAGGAGACTTACTCCTATAGGTCTCGTTAGGCTTCCTAGATTCGAACCTCGTTGTCGATGTAACCGATTGTCGGGCACACCAGATGATGTGACTGGGCGTCGTAAACAATGGCGCTCGTGCATACAATTCTCTATTTTCACGTTGACACCGTTTTAAACATCCCAGTTTCCCGTCTCTGCTCCTTCATCGAAGTGAGCNTGGATGATTAATGGTTGCTTATACTGAATCAAAATAAACACAACCCGGTCCGTAGTTAGGAATCTTTTCAGCTCTACGCAAACTTGAGGGTGATATTTCATTATACACTTTGGTGTGATGAATAGTATATGGGGACGCCTCAGTCACAAGGACCTGTTGTTCACTTACGGAAGCAATAACTTTCGAAAATATAATTTGATCAATACAAGAACCAGCTCATGGGGGTGATTAGTTATGCTATCTATATTCTATTTCATTCGTTCCCTTTCTCACACTGCAGGTCGACCACCGTCTGCTTCGCAACAATCAATACCTCAACATGCTCACCAGCGTGGTCAGAGCGGTGCCTATGGTCATGGGCATACAGCGCACTTGGGCGCTTCCATGCATTTACCCGGGTCCGCTTTACTTGATCCTAACTCGGCTGCTTTACTTGGTGCGCATGGTGCAATCGCAGTCTGTCGATCACCGTCTGTGCATCACACAACCTCTGTGCCGGTTGCATCACCGTCTCCTTCGCCTGGACCTGCGGTGGCCTATCAGGTTTGTTTACTGCATCCCACTTCTCATCTGGGATCGTGTTGACCGTAATGTCTAGTTTTCTACTGCGGCGGTTTTTTCCGTTATTGTTCCACTCATCGTAACTGGTGTCAGTTGCCACAACTGGGACAACCTCATCAGTATTTCACGTTACTGCGCTGTGCATCGAATAAGTTTATCGTTAGGTAAATAATCACTGTTCAAAATGAAATTATATACTTTTTAGGTGGTAACTGTTTGGATTAGTTCATTCGTTTTTTCACGGGCATCAGGCTTTGTTGATGATGTTGGGTGTGGATTTCACTTTTTGCATTCAAATAGTGGGGAATTAACGATCTCCCAAGGAGTGAAACCCACACCCAACATCACCAATAGCGCCTGGTTCCTGTGAAAAACTGAATGGGCTAATCCAAACATTCACCACCTAAATTGACTGAGCCATTCGCACAGGGTGATAACTGTCGACCGTGTAGCTCGGGGTTAAGGGTTTGAAGTCCCAACTCGAATGTTCGCAGTTCAAGTCCTGATAGGAACACAAAAAAGTACCCACTGCTGACGAGTCCCGAACAGGTGGAACCAGCTGTCCAGTGCTCTTTGTCGCATATCACAAACATTTCCATCGCATTCAATGGAATCACATCTTTATAAACTGCTGACTTCCCCTTGTCTTGACTGTAATTATGATTAGTTTTCATGCCTATACCTGTTTACTGTTTGCTCCACTTAATGCCTCATTCCCACGTTTCTTTTGCCTCCGTTTAGGGACGTCGTTCACAGCTTGCACCTCCGTCGGTACATTCCAACAAGCGACCACGCCTGACCAGTGCCATTCAGCATCAGTCTCCGCAGCACAATTTACCCGCGGGATCTATTGTATGTCAGGCTTCAAACACATCACTGGCTGCCGGAATGGAGGCTCTCATGTCGAGCGCTGTTGCCACAAAAGCTATCGCCAGTCTTGCCTCGAATCCGAATTTTCTGAACCCGGGGGCATATGCTTCGGTTACCGAAGTGGCTGCCGCAGCGCTAACTCCACTGTTTTCAGCTGCCGCATTTTCCGGTGCAGTCCCATCTTCACCGTCTGCAACTAGTCAGTCAAACGCATTTCAATCGCATCTACCGGTACATCATCCGCGTCCGTCTAGTGCGACTGCTGGAGTTGGCCCACAATCAATGTCGCATGCACTGCACCAACAGCAGCAGCAGCAGCAGCAGCAGCAGCAACAACAACAACAGCAATCTCAACAAACCCAAACAAATACTGTGCAAACTCAGCAGATGCAAGCACAACAACAACAACAGCAGCAGCAACAACAACAGCAGCAACAGCAACACGTTATGCCCTCGTCTACCGGATCGTTTATCAATCCATTGGCTAGCAGTCGGGCAAACTACTCCCACGTACCTGCAGGAACACCATCGCATCAAAATGCGTCAGGAAACACAAACTTTACTGGCCAGTCGACGATCTCGGCTCACCCCAGTTCGAACGCTCATTTGAGCACAAAGACAACTCATATGCCCGCCAATTTACCACCAGTGGCATCTCGTCTGCCATCTGGACATTTGCACCATCCATCGCATCATCTAGGAACCACTCACCCGACCCCCCACACTTTTCACGGTACATCTCACGGAGTTTCACAGTCCGGAACACCTCATCATGTTCTGGGACATACGAACTTACCCCAGGGTAGTGGAGTGCTGAGACAGCAAACAAAGGAACCAGCGTATCACCCACAAGTGAGTTCAAGTTTCAAGTCGCCGCGCTGTATTCCGTGGTTTAGTCTAACATTCACCAGCGATAGACATGCTTTTCAGCTGTATGCATTTCTCACGGACATCTAGAACAAGTTACAGGTTAGACTCGGCCAATTTATACGGTAATAATAAATGACGTTTGATCTCAATGAAACTACATGCCCTGATAGCTGGTCTCATCGATTACATGTGTAAGTTGAACTAATATGCCTTGAAATAATAGATAGAATGGTGAAAATGGGTGGAGCCCATGTCATGTGATCTACCGCTCAGCCATGGAAGCCGGTCATCCAAACCCTGCAGTGATGAACCAATGAACATCATTGTTTTCTATGTATTATTGAGATAGGTGACACGGAAGCTACCTACCAAAACATTTGGATGATGATGATGATCAGATTCGATCCCCCGATCGCTAAAATTGGTGTCTGTCAGTGATAAAGATTTAACGGCTGGACAACCGCTGCTCAGATGGATTACCTAAAAGCCGCATTGTATATGGCTAAACTTTTGTTCTTTATTGTCGTATTAACGCTCTCTGACGAGGGATATGGATAAATACATTGCCAAATATCAATGGGTGTTTTTGGTTCAGCGGTGTAAGCTTATTTCAGTGGTCTGCTATAGACCGTTGGGCCCGAGGCGCGAACCCTGCCATTGTCAGCTATTTTCGTTATTAGATGGCTTAGCTGTGGCCCTCGACTCGTCTACCCTACCCGGGCTTTAAATGATTCTCCATTCCAAGTCTCCGGTCCTAAATAACCAGTTTCCATAACTGAGTAGGTAGCAGGTCCTCGTGACTGTGGGAATCACCCCACCTACTGTTCAAGACAGCATGGAGTGTAACCTGAAAAGAAATATTCCCAGACTTGTTTATTTGATCGTAGTCATACTCTATCGTAGATTTTTCTATCTATTGCTTAACTAATGATACCAAGTACCGACATTTTGTTTTATTTGATTCGTACTGAGCGCTGATTTATATTTCAACACCGATATTCGTTTTACTTCAGGTGGAAGCCATTTCTCCAGCTCCTGAAGAGTCACGACTCACCGACGCTCAGGATGCTAAACTGCATCGAGAACGTGAAGAAATCAATCGTCA